TCCTTAAAAGGCGGCACTAATCCCTTTTGACAAGGTTTGGATTGTTTAATCCTTTCTCTATAGGTTGCTTCTAGTGCCACATTAAAGTACGATTTTTTCATAGTTTCAAAGTAAGATGGTTTTACTAACGGTGCCTCTGCTTATTTTCTGGCAAGATCCTGTGTGCTACAATCTAGCCCCACAGACTATAATTCCCATGAGTCCTGAAGGAAAACAGGAAGGAAGTGAGTTGTGTTTTGGAGATCAAGTCTCTCCATGTGTGTGAAGGGAAAAAAAAAAAAACCCTCAGCAGCCTATGGACTCTTCCCTTTGTTTTTTGGAACAAAAGGGAGCCAAGGCTGCTGTGGAGGAGTTTTTATCCAGTTCAGGAGCAGTTATGTTGCAGTTACAAACTGGAACAGAGACTTTGGAACTGGAATCTGGCACGCTGCTTCTGATAGCCCTAGGGGGAGGCCCTTTGGCTGTACTTGTGGCTAGAAGCTACTCTGCATCCAGCACACAGAAGGAGACTGAGTAACTGGGCATCTTTGGGAAAATGCTGCCTGGGACAGACCTCAGAGATTCAGACTAACTGGGTTCAAAGAGAGGCAGAGGCCAACCCAGTGAACCGGAGCTGCTGCATAGCTGGGACTCACATACACACTACCTACAGAGAATCTTCATTACAGCTGCAGTTCAAGCGCACCCACACAAGCAAAAGTCTGGGACTCTGAGTCCAGGGACGTGCACACTCGGGGGTGGGATAAATATTGGCAGTGCAAATGGCTGCTAAATAAGTTCCTTTTACTTCTGTGCACTTTGTTAATTGATGTTATTCACTGTTAATTTGTTAAATTCTGTTTAAGTTAAATAAAGGTTGTTCATTCTAATGCAATCTATTATATGTATATTATTTATGATTTGTAATTGTTGTTCTAGAGTTCGATCCAGTTCATTGCTGGAATAAGTTTATTCCTGGAGGTTCCCAAGGCATCCCAGTAAGTGTGTACAGGGCCAGCCAGGTGGAGGCACCGCCATTGTACATTCTTCATGAGCAAGGGAGTGGATAGGTTTCCCCCCAATCAATCACCACCACCACTGGGGTACTCAGGATTTCCTTTTACGTAAAGGCCAGCAGGCACCCTGGCACACCTGAGAGTGTGACCTGCTCCGGAGTAACCTGGGGAGGAAAAAGGGGATTACACAAATAATGCTAAAAGACTTGTAATAGCAATTGTGGGAGGGACAGGGGAGCAAGTAGCTGACAGGAACCAAGATATCACACCACATTTGTCTCCCAGATCCACTTGAAGACTCTGATTATCTATGGAGCCTAAACAAACTGAAACTAAGCTGTCTTAGAAGATAGCTTCCCTACCATCATCTTCTTGGAAAGATCTACAATAATTCCAAGGGGAAGACTATCAAGAACCAGATGAATATTTGCAGTAGAGAGCTCAAGATGACAGGACATATCTGTGTCAGTGCCTAGGGCAAAATTCAAGACACCTTTTTTCTTGGCACTTGCAAGAGAAATTACGTACCCAGGCTCATGGACTGTAGGAGATGGGAGAAGAAGCGGGAATAGAGAGCAGCTACCCCAGTGATTCAGAAAGGTCTGGTCCTCCTAGCTGCAGCTGCTACTGCAGTGGCAATGGTGACTGGCACTCTGGGCCCTTTAAATTGCTGCTAGAGCACTGCACAGTATGCTCCAGGAGGCTTTGAGGTCACGAGACTCACTGCACTCCAGGTGATGCTGAAGGACTGGCTGCCCCCAACCCTTTTGCCTGAGGCCCCACCTCTTCCAGGAGTGCAGAGCTGGCCCCCTCCATTTTGCCTACAGACTCAGCAGTTCTGTCAGCCTCTGCCCCATACTTACCTTATAGTAACTAGAGGTTCTTCCAGACAGAGACCACCTATCTGCATTCCACTGTGGGTAAACATGCACTCTATGAGCCTGGGCCCATTTTGAAAACAGTATCTCTTGATCACCTTATGACCAAAGGATAATGGACCAGATGGACCAACTCTTTCTCCAGTTCCTTCTCCACTACGAATCAGAGCATAATCCATAGCCGAGGGAAAGGTAGGCATGTAGTGAACCATACAGCTTGAAGAACTGCTAGTCACTATAAAGGTAAGTATGGGGCAAAAAAATACTGGTCCCTGTAGCCAGACACAAAAACCCCATCTTGTTTTTCCACGAGCCCCATCTTGTTTCCCCCCCCCCCAGAGAGCAAGAGAAAGGCAGCCAGCCTTTGATGCCCTGGGAACACAGGTTTGCTGCCTGTCCCTGACTCTACCATAAACAGAAACCAGACAGTAAATGGGCTAGCTGATGACCCGGGGCCTCCCGTCGCCCTGATGGCTAGTACCAGTAATTGACACGCCTGCACTGTCCCAGGAGAGGAATCTTCACCCATCACATACCAGAGGTGCCCATTGTCTGCATTTTCCCAGGTGTAAATTATGCTTTGCACCCTTCGTGGGAAACTTGGCATTCAAAGCCATTTTTCCTAATTGGCCACTTGAGCCCAGGAAGAAGCCTACATGACCCAAGGGGTATAAAAAGAGGTTCAGCCGCCCACCCCATTTGAGCTCCAATCATCTATACCTGCTGGCAGGTATTGATTGTCTCCCGAGGTCTGTGGGACGCCCAACCTCGCCCTACTTCTTCCCGAGGGATTGAGAGAAAGACGCTGGCCACGCCAAGTCTGGAACGCAGGGGTGAGAATATATACCTGCTATGTGTCTATTTTGCATGCATTTAATAAGAGCTCAGAGAACCAAAGGGTTTCATGGTACCTGTAAGTGACTTCTTAGTGTAATTTCTGTCCTGTCCTTTGTAGTGTCTGTGTTATCTGTAACACAGTAGTAGCATTTAACAACTAAGTTTACCCTGTAACAATAAATAGTAACTGTTTAAGCTTTAACCTGACTCCTTCAGTTGCTGTAACAGAACCAAGCACAATTTAAAGAACTTCAGCCGGTCATAAGGGACTCACTGCCCTGACCGTCGGCTGACAGTCCCTGTGTAACTGACTAGTACTCAAGCTGAAGAAGGGTGGGAGGTAAATGAAGGACTGCAGTTCCACAGCTACATCAGCAGAGGACTCCTCTACCAAGACACAGTATCTTGTAAACATGTGGACTGAGCTCCACATAGCTGATTTACAAATACTAAACAGAGGCACTTCTTGAGTAACACCATAGATAGTGCTTGGATAGGGAAGAGCAAGGATTTTTCAGCATTCAAGCTGACCCCCAAAGATCACAGGAGTTGTAGAACTGTCAGAGCTGAGGCCTGAGCTGCGTGGTGTGATCTGGCATATTGACTGAAAAGAGTACTAGGCAGGAAGGTGCACAACCGAGGGATGGGGAGGAGTGCTTCTCAGGGTGGGGAGACAAGCTTCTCTCATGTTTTATAGCTAAAAACCTTCAGAATATAAAGAGCCACTTATCAATTTCTAAATACATTTTCACAAACGAACAAACAAAAAGCCGAAACTTCATACACTGGAGGTTCTGATCCAGACATGCAGCAGCAAGAAGGAACTGGGGAGGCAGTTGGTCTGAACTACACTTTATCTCTGCCGGCAGGGAAATGAGGTGCCTATGTGGACCAATGGGCCATGTGTTCAAATTTCTCTGGCTCCAAGCACCTGCATACCACACAGTAGAACACAGAGTGAGCAGCATTTGAAGAAGAACAAGAAGTTTTTTCAGTAGAAAAAAAACCCCATGCCCTCCAGGCAATAGCAACCTGAGAAGGAGAAAGTAGCACTCTTCCCTTGTGGAGTCACTTCATATTCTTGGATTCTTGTTTTGCTGCCTATACACCATGGTAACTGGTCTTATAAGCACATGAATAAAAGTAGAGTTACGAAAAAAAAGCATCAAAAGTGCTCTTAATTATTCCCTGATTTGACAGGCTGCCATCACTGGTGCAGTAACCTCATCAATTCCTGCCATGCTAAAAAGGCTATTGTACAAAAACCCATTTAAGAAAAAAAAAGTTGGTATTCCTTTGATCAGTGACCCAAACAAATGTTTCAAAATCATTTAGTATGATCTATTGGATTAAACCCATATTAGGTTTGTGATATGTGAAAAGATATACTTGGAAGTGTGCTGTCCATACAAGTCCATATACAGACAATATTTTTCCAAAAATCTTGCAACTATCAAGGATTTGATTGTTTAAAAAGATACCAAATGTTACTATTCTTCATTGGCGTTTTTAACCGAAATAGTACCCCCACCCATGTAAGTTTTAATTTTTACAGGACTTTTTTTTAAGCAATCTTATCATATTAAATTCAATCATTTTATGGTCAAATTTCAAACTCCTGAAAAAAGGATCATTTGTAAGAAATGGTTAAGGCTTAGAGTAGCTCTTCCAAAAGCCTCAATACATAGGCTATATCTACACTGCTGAGTTCTTGCACAAGAACATCTTGCGCAAGAAAACGTCCACACTGCCATGTGCAAGCAGTGCTTTTGCACAAGAGCTCCCATGGCAGTGTGGATGCTCTCTTGTGCAAGAAAGCTCTGATGGCCATTTTAGCCATAGGGCTTTCTTGCACAAGAAATCCCTGCCAAGCAAGATCTCCTGCACAAGAGAGCTTACACCTGATTTAAAAAAAAAAAAAAAAAAAGAAGCATAGCTCTTGCGCAAGAAGCCCTCTTACCACGCCGTACTGTAAATTTCCTTGTGCAAGAGCGGGCGGGCAGTGTGGACGCTCTACAGATTCTTGCGCAAGAACAGCTGTACTTGCACAAGAAGCCGTGAGCGTAGACATAGCCATACAGTCCTGAAATGGCCAATATTTGCAAGTCTTATTTTGCACATTGGAGATATGTGGTAGGTAGTTACTGGATGACCTTCATACAGTTCATTTATTAGTTCAGTGGCTCATGTTTCATGGGTTCTTTTTAGCCTGTTTCCTACATAAAACAAACTCTCAGATTAGGCAAAAGAAGAGCTGGCCACCAACATTTTTCTCTTTGTATTTACTTACAAGCAATTCATCCATACTGGTCTGGCATTTTTCTAAGTTGATTCGCTTTATTGCTACACGTTCTTGCCTGGGTTTGCATAGTGCTGCCTGGACTACTGCTGTAGCCCCACTGCCTGAAAAAGAACAAAATTGGAATACATGTTTACATATATAACCACCACAAGTTTCCACTTAATTTAGGAGACAGTATCATGCTTAAGAATTGAATGCTTGTAAGTAGTTAAGTTTAAAGAAAATCATTTCTCTTTAAAAATTGAAGCATCTATTTGTGGGTTAATGTGGACTTTCCCAAAATGCACAGGCGCTCAGTGAGAAAGGGCTGGAGGGGAGAAAACACACACACACACGAACACACACACACGACTCTCTTTGCTGAAAGAAAGAAATTAAGACTCAGTATTTTAATATCTTTTCATTTAGAAGTTTATCCTATACTTCTAGTTTCTAGAAATAGCTCTTCCACAAGTTTTATAAAAATGAAACTACTACAACCTAACTGTGGAGTCACCTAAACAACAAATTAAGAAGGTACGAGACCTCAACTGGGAGCATGTCAGTTTCAAAGCAACAGGAATTTAGACCTTCTATTCCACATATTACTGCAAAGGAGAGCACAAATTTTACTTAGTGGAAAAAAAATAAAATAAAAAAAAGTTACTTCTCTCAACTTGCATAATTCAGGACAGTCCAAGTTTCCTGGGATTTTGAATTCTAAAACATCTATAGTTTCATTTATCTTCTTGCTTGTTCACAGTGATGTTAACAAGCATCCGGTAAGTAAGGTCTGATTCTGGGCAGCAACAGACAAAAATAGGATCCTCACATGGAAGCAGTAATTAGGCATTCTGGACTTAAATCTCAACTGAGCTGAGTATAGCTATACCATTTCTAGTTCTCAGATATGGCAATACTGTGAAGTCTGCAATGGCATTTTGTATGGTATTACTTCCTGAAAACAAAACAGTATATTTGTTTTTGTCAGGATTAGACCGTACCATTGCTTCCTGTAACAGGAGCTCTTGGGATTGTCTGTCCTAAAGAGGTCACCTCAGTACTGTTGGTTATAAATTAATGCATACCTTCCAGTTCCCATTTCAGAAGGATAGTGAAATGCTTACACATCTCAACATCCTACAGTGATCAGCAAGTTCTTATACAGAAGAAGCAAGATGTGGTGAGACTATTTTGTACATTCATGTAGCAAACTATAATCCGCTTGAGTAATTACTACCCGTAGTCCCATTTTTAATTTTAATTTAAAATTATCTACCAACTCATTGAACACACCAGCTTGTTCTATTCAAATTGGCCTCCTCATACATTATGTTCTACTTAGGCTTTGAAATTGGTGTGTTCTAGAGGAATACAAATTGTGAACAAAAGCCTTTTGTTACTATGTTCCACAAATGTGGTGTCAGTTACCAGTTGGCTTAAAAACAATAGGGAACTTCCTCCTCCGATCTGAAAACAGAACTGACACAATGCCACATGACCAGAAGTTACTGTGTAGGTTATAATGATGTTTGTTTAGTTATTTAGCTGTATTCTTTATTGGTTTACAGTTTGTTCACAACAGGCTTTAAAACAAATGCTTTTACATTCAGTGCATCTACTTAGTCACAAAATAAAGCTGATTTAAAAAAAAACTGCAACAGGACAAGTCAGAAGTGCTTTTTCAGGATGCTTTAACAAAGTACTTTGACAAACGTTGTTGTAATCTATTCCGTCAGTTTTTTAAAACTGTTCTAAAAGGTTTCTGTTAATATTTTTCCAATGAACCTCAGTACACAATGTGTGTCATAATATTTCATCTGTGTACTGGAAAAGTTACAACACAATGAAACCAGAAGGATACAAGGACTAAAATAAAAGTTTGCCCTTCGTGTATCTTTTCCTTTATCATGAGTCTAGTTAGTCTGTAATGAGGGAAACTCACCCAAATCTGCACTTTTTAAACTATGTGAAGATTGCAAGGGTAAAATCTTGGCCCCGCTAAGGTCAATAGCAGAACTTGCACTATTTACATTGGGACCAGGTTTTGAACTCAACTGTTTTATTGAATGCCAACAACTTCAGAGCCCCTCATCTGTCTGGAACACCTCCAACTACTAGACCTTTTTTCTTGCTACTACTCTCTCTCTCTCTCTCTCTCCTCTCTTTTCTCAGGGATTTTAAGGCTTGAAGGGACCACTGGGATCAGCAATTCTGAACTGCTGCTGCACATCAGAAGCCACAAAATTTCACCTACAGGCTCTAGAAATAAGATTCATAACCTTTCACTGAACTACTGAAGAAATCATGATTTGATGACAAGTTGCAAGAGAATCCACCATTTACTGTAGCTGAAACCTGAATTTGATTTTGCGGAGAAAAAAAATAGGGAGCATGCTATCCAGTTTTTGTACCCAATTATAGATCCTGGTCTTAATCCTGCAAAGATTTATGCATTTCATGCGCTTAGCTATGGGAATTATATCACTGATTTCACTAGAACTTGGACTGTGTATAAAGCATCTGCAGGATTAGATCTCAAGAGTACATAGTTATTGCTTGCAGGCTCTTCCACCATATTTCTCCAATACAATATAATTTGCTGTATTATGCATGACTAAAAGACTTCTGCTGCTGTGTGTCTACTGAACTAGTTCCTTAAGGAACTTCCTTTAAAGTCCAGTTTAAGAATTTCATGAAACAGGATTATCAGCCACCAAGAACTTGGTCTCCTACAACATGAGACAAAACTCATTCATGGATATGTACTGAATCTCATTTTTTGATGTTTACAGGATCTTTCGAAAAAAGGTTTCTGTTTCCGAAAAAACCATGTCTCGACTGAGGTTTCACTTTCGAAATAATGCTTTTTTCAAAGCGCCATGATGTGAATATGCAAATAAAGCATGGGAAATTCAAATTCCAGCTACATTTGCAATTTCAAAGTGTCTAATTTACATCCCTCAGTCAAAAGAGTGATGTAGTCTAGACATACCCTAGGTCAAGTCTGTACTACAGGCAGCCCCGGGTTACATACAAGATAGAGACTGTAGGTTTGTTCTTAAGTTGAACTTGTATGTAAGTCGGAACTGGTGTCCAGATTCAGCTGCTGCTGAAACTGATCAGCGGCTGATTCCAGGAAGCCCGGGGCAGGGACTTCCTGTAGTCAGCCACTGGTCAGTTTCAGCAGCGGCTGACCCTGGGGCGCCCGGGGCAGGACAACTGGGGGGCCAGCTGCTGTACCACAGGTGTCCGGAGCAAGCAGTGGGGAGCACGGGGCAGCGGGACAGCCCAGACGCGCCGTGGCTGTCCTGCTGCCCTCGGGCTCCGTGGCTTTGCTCTGCTTTGCTCCCTGTCTCCCTGGTCTGCAGACCAGGGGGAACGGGGAGCAAAGCGGCGGAACACGCGGGCAGCGGACAGCCCAGACGCGTCTGGGCTGTCCGCGTGCTCCACCGCTTTGCTTCCTCTCCCTCGTCTGCTGGAGACCAGGGAGAGGGCCCCGTTCATAACTGCGGATCCTACATAAGTCGGATCCGCGTAACTCGGGGACTGCCTGTACAGAATTCGTCAGTATAGCTCGGTTGCTCGGGTGTGTGAAAAATCCACACTCCTGAGTGACAATTATATTGACTTAGACTCATGTATAAAAAGTACTATGTCACAAGGAGGGCTTTTCTGGTCTTTCAAAGGTGGATTAACTACACCAGGGCAGAGCAAAATATAGCCCTGGAGCCAGATCCAGCCCACCAAGCCACTGGATCCAGGCCACAGATGCAGACTCCCTGCTCAGAAAAGCAGCTGCCGGCTGCTTGTGTTTCATAGCTGTGAGCTGGTGGGAAAGCTTCCTGTGCTCCCTCCTCCCCAGTACAATAACATTGGCCAGCTTCTAGGTTGAAGAACAGGTAGCATGCAAAGCATCCCTCCCCCACTTCCCTCAGGCTTTTATTCACAGATGCACATGGCCCCTGAAGCCTGTGTGGGCAGGCAGGCAGGTTGCCTGAAAAACATGCTGAGCTGCAGGCTAGGAGTCATCCAAGTCTCTCAGCAATAGCCTGCCTCTGGTACCCCAGCCTTTCCCTCCCACCAACCTTCTGCCCCTCCCCCCCATTCTTATTCCTCTACTCCCATAAGCCAAGCCCTCTGACCCATCCTGAACTTATACCCCTCCCAGACTCTGCACCTCAGTCCCTTGCCCCAGGTCACAACCCAACCCTCAGTACTCCCTTCTTCACTCCAGCCCCACGCCTCAAATCACAATTGCCTCCTTCACCCAACCTCCATCCCAGATCCTGCACTTCCTCCATTAATATCATGGAAAGGTGAAGCCATTGACCACTTTCCAAAATCTTGGAGTGCTCCCCTCCCCCCACCAAAAATTATTGCCTACCCCCGAACTACACCAATGAGAGAAGCTCTCCCCTTAGCACAGCAGCATCTTTGAGTGCTGCAATCCAGCTGTGCTGAGGCTGCATTTTAAGCTTACACCTGCTCTACCTCTGAAAAAGTGTCCACACAGAGACTGAATACGTTTTAACTAACTACTTTAAATCCCAATTCTACCTGTTAAACTTATTTTCCTGAATATCCCCATGTAAACAAACCAGAGTGACTTTCCTTTGCTACTGAAAGAGACCAGGAGGAAGGGGATGGGACTGCTATAATAAGAACCAGGACCCACTGAGGTATAGAATGGGAAGTTTTCAAATTGCCAAAGGTCACTTGCAGAATTTACAGTGAAACAAGCCAGTTCTCTGACATGACCCACCCAACCAACCTTTCAACAGCATCTTTGAAAGTTCCAGAGGTCACATCAGCACCTGTTCCCAGAAGGCAGATGCCTCACATCTCTACATCGTGTCATGATCATAGAACCATAGAGCTGGAAGAGACCTCGGAAGGTCATCAACTCCAGCCCCCTGCTCTAGGCAGGACCAACCCCAACTAAATCAACCCAGCCAGGGCTTTGTCAAGCCAAGACTTAAAAACCTCTAAGGATGGAGACTCCACTACTTCCCTAGGTAACCCAGTCCAGTGCTTCACTACCCTCCTAGTGAAATAGTTTTCCCTTATAGCCAACCTGGATCTCTCCCGCCACAACTTGAGACCATTGTTCCTTGTTCTG